TACCGTATTGCCATGATGCATTTTCCTTCCAGCACCCATGTAAGCACCTCAGTGAAATGCTGTTCAGTTCATGTATTGCACTAAACTGGTAAAAATGGTTCCAAACAGCAGAGTGGCACGGCAAGGATCTACAACAGGATACAATGGAGAACATGGATATTTTAAAGGGAAACAGAACACTGCAATCACTTCTAGAAAATTTTGTTTGTTATGCAAAAAGGATAATTTCTCCCCCAGAACAGATATATCTGTTATCAGTGGATGCTGGCAGCCTGAACCCAACCACAAACCTTTACCATATGTGACGGACTCTACACATATGTCCTTCTTGGTTCTTACAAAGTGAAGTCCTAGACCTCTTATTGCTTGCTACATAAATCAAAGAAAAGAGACCTCCCCACCTTAAAGCAGGGATGGGCAACTGCTGCCCGCCAGCTGTGCTTTAACTACAAGTCCCAACATGCCTCTGGGAATCATGCCTGTAATGGTCAATCTTGCAATGCCTCATGGGACATGTAGTTCCACATTATCTGGAAGGCCAGGTTGCCCACACCAGACTTTAAAGTATCTAACAGCAAGTTGTATTTTGTTGTTTTTGGATGGAGTGGGGAGGGTGAGCATTGCAAACCTGTCAAGTTTCAATTACCATCTGTGTCCCCCTGGAGATTCATCCTCTATGGGCTCATTCAGATGCGACTGCATGCCTGTAAAATGGCCGATCCCAGGAGGGATAGACGCTGTGTGTAATTGCGACGCACACTTGGACACTGTCTGCATAGGGAAGAATAGACTGCTGCACGCAATTACATGCAGCAATTGCCCCTTTGAGGTTCGGGTCTTTTTACAGATATGCGCTCAGAGGTATAATATCGCACTCCAATCCGACGTGTCCTAATATGTAGCTTGATTGGGTGCTGAAATGGCCAATGAAGATAATGAGGTCACCAGCACACCAAGGCCCACTTCATCGATCTGTCTTATATTGACATTAAGATAAACAGGGCGTCACAGGCAAATGCATTTGCTTTGACACCATGTTTATCTTAACGTCAATAAAAGACAGACCAATGAAGTGGACCTTGGTGTGCTGGTGACCTCATTATCTCCTTTTTACCGATGTGCACGCCCGTCAGAATGAACCCTATTTGTCCTGGTAAGCTCTGCCACTGAAAGTGAGGGAACAAGACAACATTTTGAGCTGTCACCAGAACAGGAATAAAGGGGAAATCTTGTTGCAGTGACAACTGTATAAGAGGGGATTTCTCTCACTTTGGGGAAAGTGTCACTCACTTCTTCTTATCTCTATGGGACATGAAGTGAGGGAGATTTATCAATTGGGACGCAAGCAAAAAAAAATAAAACCTGACAGGTAAACACTTCCCTAATTAAAATCTTGCCTTTAGATCTACTTTAACACTTTTGCTGCCAGAGCTTCTACCGCCTCATTTTTCGGACATGCTAAAATGTACCAGTGTACCTGAAAACACATTTAAATCTCAAAAACATGATGAGAGAAATGTATGAAAACTGGAGCAGTTTTCCACAGCGGCCAATCATCTTCTTTCTTCAGTTTGTCCAGTTAGAGAGCACCTCTACCTTTATCTTCAAAATAAAAACAAACACACCTTTAGAAATGTGTAGTAATGGCAATCTACAAACGCATACTTCGAGATAATTGCCGGCTTTGTATTTTTTGCTTATTTCTCTTTTCCTCCCCATTCTTCTCACAGTAGCCATTTTTCCTACGGACAGATTAATCCATCACCCTTTACTTCCTGGAACTCTGGCACATGTGACTAGGACATGTGACCATGCACATCATGTCAGGGGAGGAAAATGCCTTTCCCTGAGATTACAGATGTGATTTCCCAGCAATGCACTGCTGATGAAACCTTCCCAGGATGCAATGCTTGGGCACAATTACATAATTTGTGCCAAAGTGGAAATTGTAAGTAAAATACAAATGTTTGTTTAACTAATGAACGTAAGATGATGTCATATGAGCATATAAAGCTGTACGCTGATGTGATTTTTAGTGAAAGGGGGTAAAGGTCCAATTTAAGCTTTGAGAGAGAAAATGAGAGAGAGAAGCAGATTAGTTGCCATATATAGCTAGCTCAGATTCTGTCTGCTCCAATTTTGATAAATTCCACTCGCTATATTTTCTGAAAGCAAAGGACCGATATAATAAAACAATGGTAGCTGCAATTTTTTTTGTATCTTGCACAATATTAACAGAACAGTTTATCAAATCGATACTTTCAGTATAAAATACCTTCAAGTTAGTTTTGGTTTCATACAAAAGCACAAAATAAACAACAGATATTTATGAACCCATGGGTGGTGTGTGTTCATATGCGAGCGTGGACCTTTAAAAAGGTCTTTTAATCCATGAACATATATTTTAATTGTTTAAACACTTATTTTTCCTTTAGTTCATCTAACTTTATTGCTATCAGAAGGAGGCTGATAAGCTTATATGGAGTGACAGGTACTCTACAGAGGCATCAGCAATTTACTGAACCCCCTAATTGCACGTCTCCAATGGCCAGACTGAGCTTCCAGGCTCTTCGTTTTTAGGGAAGATCGGGAACCGAATGTTTCTCATCTCCACGTGCTCTCCATCAGACAGTGCCCATGTATGTTCAGAGGGTAAAGGTGAGCCCAGAACACACATGTGCATGTGTAAAGGGGGGACATGGGTTGGCGACAGCATTTTTCACATACAGAAAGTGATCAGGCAGCATTATAGCCACCAGAATCACTTCCATCGGACAGACCGAAGACACACAAACAATTTAAACAAATGCGCTGCTGCAGTTTGTTTACATCCCAATACTACCGCTCTGCAACACTTACTGCAGTGGCAGTAAAGGAGTTAAATGGATAAATGGATAAATGGATAAATCTTTTAGGATTGTAAGCCCTTAGGGACAGGGCCCTCCTTACCATCTTGTCTGGAATTGTATTGGGAATGTCTTCCTTATACTGTAAAGCACTGCACAAACTGTTGGCACTATATACATTCTGTAAAATAATAAATCTGGTCAATGTTTCTACATAAAAATGTAATGGATCAGATTGTCATTAAAAAATCTTGTTTTGTTTGTGTATAATTTGCAGATATTTATGAACATGGAAGAAGTCATCATTTTTCATTACATATGCAGACCCTGTTTCCTTCCTTGCAGCACTACACAGTAGAGTTGAGCTTCATGGCTCCTTCCCACAATGCTATTCTTTAAGATGGCCGACTCACTGAACACAATGCATTCCCTGCGCGGCTGAGAGCTCCAACTAGCAGCTAATATACAAATGTCTGTATCTAATAAAAATGATAAATGAGCAAGCATGAAAAAACAAAATGGGAACGTGAGAAGTGACCTAACAATCACTGAAAATACACTAGATTTACTCTGCGAATGGGCCCCATTGATGACAACCTGCCAGCATCAAGCCAACTGAAACATCAGTATTCAATGGTCTGCCCTTACTCTGACAACAGAAGTTGTTAATAGAATTCTTAGACATATGATCATTCATAACAAACATATATAAAATATGCACAGCGGGTAAACAGACATAGGCACGAAGGGGTTTTATATTTAAAGTAGAACTCTGTTTAAAACTTCTATTAACCCTTGCATGGGCCTACCCACTGCAGAGGTTAATTTAAAAAATGTGTTCTTTAAAAGAACCCTGTACTGCACAGTAGAAAGCAATGGAAATAGGAGTTATAATACAACTGCCAGAAACCTGGACAGCTGAGCTTATGATGAAAACTGCATAAGTAGAAGTTAGCATCAGTGGAATCCACATGTCAAAATGATCACTACAGTCACAAGTATGTGCAGCTGAAGTTATGAGCAAATCTGCAATTGCCCTGTAAAAGTCAAGCCTAGCACCTCTTTGTTGAGCCCCCTATTGGCCACGGAATATGACAAGCAGCCTCACTGATCAACAGGGAACTTAAGGAGAGGTGGCCAACCTTTGCATAGGATTTGACAGCCAGTGCTCACGTTCTACTGATCATTTGGACTTGTGAGCTCCGCTTCTGTATTTTCTCAACATATGAACATTAAATTGCCAAAATTCAATATGCACCTTAAAGCAGAACTGAAGTCCCACGCTTCCATTCCCGGCATCTCTTAGATGTCAGGACTGGATTTATAATGCTGGGTCAGCTTATGCGGCAGTGGAGATTTTACAATCAGAGAATCTCCTGTGTCATCATTGTCTCAATCCTGGATAGAGAACAAGCCTGACATCAGAAATGGCTACACACGGAGCGTGCCACTGAGGACGGCTCCCCTCCTGCCGTAAGCAAACGGATTTGTGCATAACTTTCCAGCATTTGGAGTACCTTCATTATAACAATAAAGAATGTTATATCAGATATCTTAAGTACGGATTACTGCGCCTTTTCCAAAGAGCAGAAATGGTAAACAATGCAACCAGAAACAGGTCTGTACAATCTGCATTCTACTGGCACAAATTCGGAGTATTAAAATGTGCAAATAGCAGCACGCTAGTGTCCTGATTGGCTCCTGTAAATGTCGGCACTTCTAAACTACTACAGTGCTCCTCTGCCACCTTGTGGCCAATCACATTACTGCACGCCACCTACAGGGCAGGACAAAAAAGTTACAACGTCCTTATCAAGCGACAAAAAGAAACTGGAGTAAACAAAGTTACAATTAAAAATGCAGAAAAAATCCATAAACATTAAAAGGAAAAACTGAAAGGATTCCTCATGTAAGGAGTGTTTCTGGTGTGATAAGGCTACTGGTAGTGTAAAGTTCCTTGTGATGGGAAAAGTCAAAACACGACTGGTAATCTGGTGTCATCTTGTGCATGGAGGTTTCCAGCAGTCAGTGAGTTCATCCAATATTTTCTGTACCGTAGGAGGCTGAATTCTGCAATAAAAAAACACTATTGAAGACGCCCCTGCCATAGTTGTCCCCAGAGGGCCATGTACTCCTCTGCTGCCTTCGATCAATGGCGCTAAGCTCCCAGCAGTCTATATGAATGTGGAGTCCATTGCACTTGTTTCAGGATTATTCCGAGCTCGCGCTTCAAAAAGCTGCTTGATTAAAGCCGATTTTTCCTGCTCCAGCTTGGTGATGCGGTCACTTTTATCACACACCTCCTAGACACAGCAATGCAGACAGATTAATGGATGCTACAACTAGACATGTGTAATGATAATTATTCGACTCGATTTATTGCCAAAATGTACAAACTTTCAGTTGTTTGCAAAGAACAAATCAAACAAAAGCACTTGAAATAGGTCAACACAATGAATGTCACAAGTGGTTTCCCCAAATCCAACTGAAAAGTCAGCAAATGACTTCTGCAGTCTCAAAATGATTCATCCCCCTGAATACTGTAGAATCCCTCACAAGTGCACATCTGCAGGTCTTGTCTCAAGCACACCTGATGCAACTTATCAAGGGCTTCATTCATTTCACCAGGTGTGCTTGAGTTAGAACACATGAAATACCTGAACTGGCTGGGGGTTTGTTGAGTGTCAGGTTTGACTGCATGTTAGATATGTGGCTAAGTCAAAAGAATGGTCCAGAAAAGGTAAAAGAAGAGATCATCGCCCTTCACCAACAAGGAACAGGATGCAAAAAGATACTAGAGAATGTTCCTAGAGACACCATTGGAAGCGTAGTTCGCAAGTTCAAAATTAAAGAAAGAGTGGTTACACTACCTGGATGGGGCAGAGTAAGGAAGCTATCAATGGCTGCAACCAGATTTCTGAGAAGGCAGGTTGAGAAGAACCCTCGAGTGACTGCAAAGGACCCGAAGCAAGACTTGGTGGTAACAGGCACTGAGGTTTCAGTTTGCACAGTAAGGCGCGTACTAAATGCAGAAGGTTTCCATGACAGAACCCCAAGTTGTACACCACTACTGACCCAAAAGCACAAGAAAAGTCGGCTCCAATATGATCAAAATCATATAAATAAGCCACACAAGTTTTGGTATTATGTTCTGTGGAGTGATAAAATTGTTAAAAACTTTTCGGCCCTATGAATGAGTGGTATGAATGAGTGGTATGAATGAGTGGTATGTCTAGAGGAAGAAGGAAGCATATGCTAAAAAGGACACTCCGCCTACAGTTAAGCATGGTGGTGACTCGGTGATGCTCCGAGGCTGCTTTGGATCCTCTGGCACTGGAAACCTATAGCATGTGAAAGGCAAGATGGATTCATGGAAGTATCAGGAAATCCTAGGAGAAAACATCATGTTGTCTGTGAGAAAGCTGAAGCTTGGGCGTCATTGGACGTTCCAACAGGACAACGATCCCTAGGATACCTCAAATTCCACCAAGGCTTGGTTGCAAAAAAAGTCGTCGAAGATTCTACAGTGGCCATCACAGTCACTAACTTGCACCCCATAGAAAATCTCTGGTGCGATTTGAAGAAGGTGGCTACAGCATGCAAAACCAAAAATATTAGTGAACTGGAGGCCATTGCTCAAAGAAATGGGCTGAGATCCTCAGGAACGCTGCCAGAAGCTGGTGTCTGGCTATGCATCTCGTTTGCAGCAGGTCATAACAGGAAAAGGGTTCTCTACTAAGTACTAAAGATGCTCGCCATGAAGGGTCTGAATAATAGTGACACTGCAGAAGTCATTAAAAGTTTGAATTCAGTTGAATTTAGAGAAACCACTTGAAACATTCGTTGTGATGACCTATTTCAATTGCTTTTGTTTGATTTGTTCATTGCAAACATCTGAAAGTCTGTAAATTTTGTTAACAAACCTGATTTGCAATGGGGATTGAATAATTTATTACAACCGTACCTAAACATAGCAAAGTAGTGAACAAATTATTATGGAATTCAGGAGTCAGTCTGTCCAATCCAGGAGCCAGCTCCATTGACAACAACTAGAGACTTATAGAGTATTGGACATCTGGCTCCTGGAACTTGTCCAGCATGTTATAACAGGTTAATGCCTTTAAAGTGCTTTAATTATACCCAACATCCCCTTCTTCTCCCTCCACACTATTTTCACTAACACCTCATTTAGTGCATACATACACAATTAATCTCTTCATTTTCCATTAAACATAAAAGAGGAGATGGCATCAAGTTCATAAATGCCAAATATACCCGGCCACAAAATTGTGTGCACTCGTGAAAAACTGAAATATTGAAAATTGTAAGGAGGTAAAGCGTCAAAAACCTTTTCAGCTGGTCACTTTGCAATGACTTTCACCTCCTGGGCGCATAGGTATACTGAATTGGCATTGTGAACAGGCATTTAGACCAATGCTGCCTCCTCTGTCCTGATCTACTTCTTTCCCAGCCACCAGGATTCCTTTGAACCCAAATTGCTGTCAGGTTCATTTAGCCTAGAGCAAGTTGGCATTTAGGAATACACAAATGTCCTCCCACCATCCATACTGAATCCCATTGGAGCAGGTGACAGGTGAGCCTGTAGACCATGAAGGGGGAGCAGGCATGCTGAACAAAAATACTCTGGGGGAAAAGCACCAGATTGGGAGCCTGTCATCTAAAATCTATGAAAAGAAAATGCTGGACTGGTATGGGTAATCTTTTGGTGTTTCTCACCCAACAGTAAAGTGATGTGAATATGAGTGATGTAGATAGGCAGCTTCTGCAATCCAAAAGATCTCCACAGCTTTATCAGGACTTCATGAGAGAAATCATGTATGTGGACTACAACCCCTGCAGCTTGAAAGTTGTATTGTTTTGTGATTGAGTGCTGCAGGCTTGGCCAGCTTGACAGGGATTGTAGTTGACAGACACAATTTCACTCATTAAGCCCTGAAAAAGGTAGTGAGGGGCATTTATCATAACTGGAGCAGCTGCCCATGGCAACCAATAAGCTTATATCTTTAGTTTGTTCAGTTAAGCTTTGAAAATGAGAGAAGCCGATTGGATGTCATCAGCAACTGCTCCAGATTTTGTCTGCTCCAGTTATGATAAATTCCTTTGTGTGTTTTGGATCCCCAATATACTTTGGCTACAGTACTTAAATATCCCCTTGATTCTAGTGGAAAAAAGTTGTATAGAGACTATTTTAACTGCTGTGGCACTTCCATTCCCCCATCTACCACCTATGGCTACCTCTAAACTTTTCAGATAGGGTCCTAAATGAACCAGGCCAGTACTATCCAACTGGGAGTAGCCCATTTGAAACAGTGGTGGGATCTCCTTTTTTGGGGAATTGTCTTTCTTTCTTGAATCTATTAACAGGGGACGCACCACTACATGCTTATTCTGTTACACAATATATATTTATAACCTTTCTTCCCAATCTATATATTTTCAATAGCCCTAAAAACACATGGGAGGGACTGCATCTTCCAGCAGGCCGGACAATACCTTGGAATATATTGGAGCCTGTGGCTGGAAATTGGAAAGTCCATGATCGCCTACAGCTTTTACAGCCCCACCATCATCAACAAACGGAAACGGTGGCAATATCCAGGTCCCATGAACCGAGGACAAACATGAGCTTTGCACTCACCTTTGTCAGTAAACGATTCTGCTCCTTTAACATATTTACAGTTTGCTGTTGCCCAGGTACAGGGGCGGCATTGGTCACAGGTGAAGCGTGGACACCAGTCTGTCAATGGAAATAGAAACATAATTACCTACACAAGGAAACCATGATGCAGAAAGTACTCCAGAGATGGAAGCTGTGGGCAATACCGTGCTGCTAAATACATACATATGTATAACTTCACCTGCCAAAACAATTGTAACTGTTTAGCCATGCTTGTGCACATGGCCTGGGATCTTTCCATGCCTAGGGGCTGGGGACAGAAGCTAGGGCTACAGAGCTAGGAGAAGTATATTTACCAACGTGTCCCTGTGGTTTATATGTTTATTTTTTACTTTAATGTGGAAGTTTAATATATGGGTGGGGGCCTTGACAGGAGCGTAACTCGAAATCACAGAGCCAAGTGTTTTGTGGGGCCCCCCTCCCCAAACAAAAAAAACAAAGCACAGTTGAATATAGGGCTGCAGGTAACTATTATTTTCATAATCGATTAGTTAGCCGATTATTAACCAATCGGATACAATTTTTAAAAAATCACTAGTCATTTAAAATATAATAAACAAATGGAGTGTTACAGACAAAGTTTACTTCAGAATAAAACGGTATGCACATCTTTTTAAAGCGCACTGCACTGAAACGCAGGGCATTGCAGTACCGTGCGTTCCAGTGCAGGCAATCACACTGCGGGAAGGAGGAGCATTTGGGATCTATTGAAATGAATGGCACTGCAAAGCACCTCAGGCCAAAACTGAAAATTACTTTTCCCATCTTTTATATTGTTTTAAATAAATGTATGCATTAAATTAGACATTTTAATTAGTTTCATGGATTTAAAATAATGTGAATTGTAAAACTCTAAGCCAATCTAAAAAATTACCAACCATTTAAAATAATTTTCAATTTTAGTTTAACTTTATTTTTTTATTTGTTTGCAGTCTTAAATTTTAAATTTAACTTTAATTTTAGTTTAACTTTTTTTTAGTTAAGAGGCGGCACACGGTGGGCCAAGAGGCGGCAGTAGATTGGGAAGTGAGCGAACACATACCGGCGTTCGCTCACTTCCCTATCCTGTCACTGCAGAGAGCCGTGACAGGGGAGGGACTCGATCTGCTGGTTCTGCCTCTAGATAGGCAGAGCCAGCTGTCACTCATGCAGCTGGGCGGATCCCGGCACAATTGTCGGGATCCGTTTCAGTTGCGGCGTCTCAGTATACCGCGAGCTGTAGCTTGCGGTATACTGAGCTTAGGAGAACTATGGGGAAAAGCCCTAACCCCATAGTTCTCCTTTAAACAAGCCCGTACGTTGAAGTGGAGCAAACTCACCCTGCAAGGAGACAGGAGGTCACTCAGGCATCGGTTCACTTCCTGCAGTCTGGTCAATAGCTGATTCGAGGGTCCTGGTTGGGCATCATTGAAGTATTCCTGGAAGAGAGACAGAGCCTGTTAAAAAAAACACAACCTAAAAAGTGGCAACATCTTCAGTGCTGTAACGTTCTTGTGCTAGAGAATAAGGAGAATTTGTGGCATCACTAGACACGTAAACCTGTAGAAACATATGGGGACTGCCATCGCTAACATACTGAAAATGCCAATTGTCTCACTGTTGTGCAAATGCGCCATTTCAACACCTTCTGAAACGCTCACAGCCTGGTAGCATGTCAGGAGTTTGGACTTCACTTGCCAAGTCCTTGTTGAGGGTCAATGACTTGAAAGTATTTACTCCAGAGGCTGCGTGACATCCAGGCAGCCAGCTTTTTCAGAAGAGGGTCCAGCCATAGCAGCTTAGGTATTTCTGTCATGACGGAATTCCCTTACAGAATGACCTCAGTCTGGTTAAAAGATTCCACTAAACTTACTGTACACGTTGGCCCTGGTTGACACCTGACCATTTTGTGCGACACGCGGTGCCAGCAGGCAGAGACAAGTGAACATCCTTTTCGCCGATCTCCTCCCCGCTGAATTAAACTAGAAGCAGCATGGATTGCATCACCTCCAGCTCCTCAGCTGTCATTCCCTGACTAGAGAAGGGAAGAAGCTATTCAGGCACTATCTGCGTTTGCTCAGCTTCTTTCCACTGGAAAGGCGATATTAGGCATCTAACAGGCCCCCACTGTGACATTAAAGAGCACCTGTCACCACTAACATCCTAACACATAGGAGGCTTGTGAGGCCCCCTACGTGATAGCAATGACAATGTTTAAAAAAAGAAACTAAATGTAAAAATACCACATTTTAAAGTCCCCCACGAACATGCACATATGAACGTAAACACGTGTCGGGTGTGCCTACGTACAAAAACGGCGATTATGCTACACCACGTGCGCCAGAGTGAGAGCAATATTTCTAGGGCCAATATTAATGGTTACCTCTAAACTGATGACCTGTACAGGTTTTGTTGCTGATTCACAGGCACGCGTAATTCTTAAGCTTGGCATTTCGGTATCCGGTTACACGTCGTAACCTCATCTTTTATATTTTTTGATCAATTGGATAGGATATCGAGTTTTTTTGCATTAAAATTGCTGAAATTTGGGGTTTGATAAATTGTTGCCCTAATATTCTGCAATGTAAAAAAATTATTTTTTTAAAATATATCATTTCCTTTGGTAATTTTTAGGCCTAAAATGTGGAAAATAACGTGTGAAAAACTTAGTTAACCCCAAAACCAAAAATATATTGCAGCTTACCAGTCCTTGGATGAGATGGCTGCATTAGTTTTCTTCTTTTAAGCTTTTGCCCCTTTATTTTACCTATTGATCTTGCCAGTAACACACTTATTTACAGTACATTGAGTGAGCTTTGTCACTATCTATAGAGAAGCAGCATTTTAACGCTAGGATAGAAAGTATAGTAGGTAGGGATGCACCGGTACGGTCATTGGTATCACTGCCGATATTGAGCATTTGGGCAAGTACTCATCCAAATGCTCCGATACTTACCCTGATACTGGAACCTCCGGTCAGAGGGAGATTCCCTCTCACCGGGAGTGCATGGATCCGCAATCAGAAAGCAGGGCAGTGGGTCATGACCATCTAAAACCGGCATCGGTGCATCCCCATTATTTGGGGTGCAGAACACCTCCCCCTCCATAAGACAGGGGGAGATGTTCTGTAGCACTAATACTTCCTGATAACATTGTTTGCGATAACCTCTTAGAGTGCACAGGACAGCAATGGATTTCAGGCAGAATAAAGAAGGTTTTTTTGCATTTATCAAACAGAGAACAAAATGCTTTGATGGTATATTTAACAGACAAAAAAAGGAGCAAATAGAAGATGTCTCTTGTCAAGGTGTACATACACTTTATGGTGTACCTAAATCCAAACCCTTTTTCTGTTTTGGAAAAAGTATAAAAAAAAGGAGTAAGGCTGGGTTCACACCTAGGCGTATTGCAAAAGCACGACCGCCGCGCGGGTTTTTTACCGCGATTCGCGGTAAAAAAGTCGCGCGATTCCAAAGGCTGCTTGGCTGTATCCCAATGGAAAACGCCCTACAAAACGGCCCAAAGTAGTCTCGGGACCTTTTCAGGCGTGGGCCGTTTTGTAGGGCGTTAGGGACGGGCGGAAATACGCCTAGGTGGGAACGAGGGCATTGACTACAATGCTATTTATTTTTTTGACCGTTTTGTAGCGCGTTCGTCGAGCGTAGGACGCGCTACAAAACGGTCAGGTGTGAACGCAGCCTAAAACACATCAGTTGTTTTTTTTTGGGTGGTCTATGTCCCATTGGGAGTATTTATCTACATTTCCCGTCCTGTGGATTGAAGAAGTGACAAGAAATCTGAGAAGAGTTGTCCTCATTGGAAGATTTCCACCCTATTCGTGTTCTGGTGACAACTGTGAAATGTTGCATTTCCCATCAATCTGTGTCTCAGTGACAACAGTAATCAGAACAAAGTAGAAAGAGTGAATTTCTTCAAGGGTGACAGACAGCACAGTACAGCACAAGAAAACCCAGGTGTGCAATGAGGAAAGCAGGAAAGTATGGAGTCCAGATTTCATTTTATTTAGAATTGTCTATCATAAGAAGCCAAAACATTTCGGGGGTTCAAAAGGTCCCCCTTCCCCAGGGCTTAGTGCTATTGAACGCAGCGCTTACTAGACTAATCCAATTAAAAGGATCCTAATTGGCATGAACACTTCAGATGTCTATTAAGCGGCAATATAAACCTGAGAAGGCAGCGCACCTTTTCTGTCTGTCCAAAACTAAGGCTGGGTTTACACCTCAAAGAAGCTCCTGTACTTCTTTGGGCGTAGGGCGTTTTGCAGCGCGTTCCTAAGCGCTGTAAAATGCCCAGGTGGGAACCATGCCCATAGGCAATCATTGGTTTTCACATGTTGAGCGTTTCACAGAGCGTAAGAACGTGCTGTAAAGCGCCCAGGTGTGAACCAGGCCTAAAAGAAAACAACTTTGGCTTTAGATGACCTCAGGCTTTTGAACATGGCCGTAGTTGTGCTCGTGTTACAAACTACTTCCCGGCAGGTACGCAGGTTAAACCCTTTTTGACCACCTACCTTCTTTCCCAGATTCATTTGCTGCTCTTGCACAGTATGGATCTGCTGGAGGTACCAGTCCCGAGCCTTCTCCACCATCTCCAAACCCTGCAGAAGTAGATCCTTCTCATGTTCCAGCTCCTTCATCCTCTTCAGCTGTAGACACAAATATTTACACTTAATTGCCTTTGCAATACGCTTATCAGGTATTTATCGTCCAGCAAAATATTTAGGAAATTGAGAGTACACAAATAGTTTGAGGGCCTTTTGAGTCCATTAGATACCTATGAGGTCCTAACATCAAACAGAATGACGTGCTCTCTCTCTAGGCCTCACTTGATGGGAAAGAACAAGTCTGCTTTGTGTATTTGTTCCAGATCTGTGCAGTAATCCAGTATGAAACGTTACCCCCATGCAGGAGCTGCCTGTAATAAAGACCAGTCACTGCTGTGCTCTCTCCTTGACTGGTCTTGTATCCGCCCCTCCTGTAGTTTTCTGCAGTTTTTATATAGTGATGTCACTACTATATTTTACCGTGTATCGGACGTGATGACTTGAGGATCACTAGACCAATGCAGCAGGACAGACGCTCCAGGGACTGGTCTATGAACAAGCCGGCTTGGCTGTTTAGGCGAGTAGAACGTTTTAATTTTTTGACCCTGGGCAAAAAGGAGCAGTTAACCCTTGCAGTGCGGGGGTAGCCCTACTACAACGGTTACTAAAATTTCTGCTTGGAGTTCTTCTGAACTCCAGGCAAATGACTACCTCAACTGAGAGGTAAAGTCTGAGAGAATGAGGTCATTAATCCACACTAGGCAGGAAGTAGCATTTCCTAAGGCCCCTTTCGCACGAGCGTTCAGGTTGAAAAACGGACAACAAAGCATCTCTACGGCATTGCGGATGAAAACTGATGACCATCAGTTGACATCAGGAAACATCAGTGTCAGTTGAGGTCCGCAATTTGAGACGGATCAGCTCTCCATTTTGACTGAACGGGACTGATGTAACCTGATGACCAGTTTACATCAGTCCAGGTTACGTCCGTTTTTTTGGGACCGATGGCAAGCCCAACGCATACTGGGAGAAAGCAAAGAATCATGAGAATTTACTATACTGTAATAGCAAAAAATACTGATGTGAACTGAACTGACAAGGGATGTGCAAACTGATTCAGTTTTCAGCAGTTTTGTTTTTGTAACTGATGACGCTCGTGTGAAAGGGGCCTAAGTCATCGCTTACTCATGGGGTGTCCAAACTTTTTTCAAAGAGAGCCAGATTTGATGAAGTGAGCATGCGTGAGGGCCGACCATTTTGCCTGACATTCTTTGAACCATTAAAATTAAATGCAAATGAACTATTTTATGCAAAGTTTATTGCAGACGGCATACTTTTCATTTCGTCACATGGATGACAAATCCAAACAGGTGTTAAATCACTCTGCCTTTCATATCTGAAGGCCAGATGAAAAAAGAATCCAGAAAGCTACAAGGTTCCTGACATATATTTCAAAGTACATTACATATTATTGGTAATAAATAGGGCTGCGGAAATTAACGATTAATCGTTAATTATTTTGATCGGAACTCACCTTTCCGCCAGCTTACGGGAGTTCCTCGGAGATCCGGTGACGTCACGGACATAGACGTCACCGGACTCCTCCCCCCTTCCCCTAGTGGCTCTGTCGGCTAACGAAGTGAAGGGGGGGAGGAGTCCGGTGACGTTGATGCCCGTGACATCACCGGACTCCTCCCCACTTCCCTTCGTTAGCCGACAGAGCCACTGCGGCAGTGACCACCCCCTCGATCTCCAACACCACCGATTCAACCACCAGTACCACAGCATCCAGCTCAACTGTTCAAACAGGTAAGGCATTACAAAAAAAATCAGTTTACAAACTTCAAATCAGCCTGTGTGCCGTCCATATTGGCACACAGGCTGATTGAAGTTTGTAAACCGATGTATCCTTGAACTACTCATTTATGCTTCTAATCGATCTACCATTGTGAATACCTTTGCACTCTATTTTGCTATTTTTAAACAATAAAGAACCATCTGCACTAGGGTGGGCGCCCTTCTCTTTCTTTTTGTCTTCCAGTTATACAGTTCCCTTGGCTGTATAATAATGGCTTATAATTAAATCGAAATTAATCGATTAAATCGAACACAAAAATGTTATTACCAGCCCTAGTAATAAAGGTTGTCGGTAGAGGTACACCGAAATGGAAATTTTAAAGACAAAACGAAAAATCGAAATTAAAAAAGAATGTCAGGCCGAAATCGATACCGAAAATATTTTTTATTTTTTTAGATATTTTTTTGTATAAACTTTTTTAATTTTGTTATATTTATTTTATTTATTAATTCATTTTTTATTAAATATTTTTTACTTTACTTTTAGGGGCTTCGGGGGAAATATTAGGAGTCTAAACAGACCCCTATTCCGACACGCTGTCACAGGAGGCTGATCGAATGGTGTAGAGAGGAAAGCCCAGCCTCCTGTGACAGCGCTGTCTCCGCCCCCACACCGCTCTGCCGGACTGCGATAGGCGGCTGAGCGGTGTGGGAGGAGAGACGCCGGCAGTTCACATCGCTTTCGTCCTGCAGCGCTCGGCTGGCTGTCACTTTCTTTTCTCCCCGCTGGAACAGCGCCCAGCGGGGAGAAAAGAAACCAGGGATGCGCCGATGTATCAGCCGAAACATGGCTCTTTCGGCATTATGCCAAAAGTGCCATTTTCGGCCGATATGTTTCGGCGCCAATATATCGGTGCATCCCTAGTTGTCCGTCAACTTTTAAGTTCAAAAAATATGAACAGGAACATAACACCAAGTATACATGTTGTGTCCAAATATATTTATAACCGATTTAGACCAACTGACATTAACTGAGATTTTACAATGTATTCATCTCAATTGAAAGAAAAAACTTGCCTGCACTAATGTGAAGGGTGAAACTGAGATCTGGACTGCAGCACATAGGCTAGGTCTGGTTCAAAGGCAGTGGTTTCAATGCGCAAAATGTCACGCAGGTGAGAGTCACTTAGTCTTGTCCCCACGTGCAGGGAGATCGAACGCACCAAATCCCGCGACCTCCAAGAGATCGCGAGAATGCCGACTGAGGACATGCAGTTCCGCGGCGTTGAGAGATCCAGAGATCCCAAGCGGCGCTCTGGGATTCACTGGGGGCCACAACAGATAGATTTTGCCAAATTACCTATTAAACAGAAACACGGGCCGCAATTGGCCCGCGGGCCGGACTTTGGACATGACTGGCTTACTGGGACTGTTGTAACTTATTGGCAGTAGCAGAAGGGGCTGAGCTGTGTGATATAACATAGATACAGTACACAGCATCCTGCAATTAGATGGAAACTTCAGTGGCTTCTTTTTAATATGACCAGTCTTAAAAAACAAACAAATTTCAGTTACAGATAGTCTGAAAGAGTCTGTGCGCATTCAGTGACACCCATAACGCTTTGATAATTCTGTGTAATGGCTGCATTACTTGTTTCTTTGGGAACACAAAGATTATATATAATAAAAAAAATAAAAAATCAGAACTAAAATATCAGTTTAGAAACATAAAAAATTAAAAATGGGGGGGGCGTGTCCTGGACATGGCGGAGTGAGGCAGCACCTCACGTGAGCTCCGTGCAGTATCCCCGGGACGGCGGAACAGGCGACGATTTACCGTAGATTTTACCCCATGTCAGTTGCTGGACATATGTTCACCACTGGTAGAGGTCACCGACAGACGGATCTCCTTCAACTATTCTCACGGGCGGGAGGAGATAGCTCGGTGCGGCCGGACCCCAATATGGCGACCACCCCCTCGGCGGCCTCGAATGCGTCCTCTTCCAAGAAGATCCCGAAGTCGCTCCAGATGACGGCCCCCGCATCGGTGAGTCGCACAAGCCCGCCACTCTCGCCCATCTGCACTCCGCTCCTACTCGATGAGGCATCTCTAACGGGATCGGGTGAGCCCGGAGTAGGCCCCATGTCAGACGGGGACAACGACTGGAGGGCCTTCCTGCCACAACTACTATCAAAATCCAAAGGGGTGAGCATTTTGTTGGCACGGTCACTACCTTGGACTCTGATGGACCTCCGACAGGACCCGGAGTGTAGATTTCTTCTTGCCAAGGGCCGGATTGGGGACAAGGTAATTACCCTAGCCAATGTGTATCTTCCCAACTCGGACCAACTAACCTTCCTGAGACACCTGGTGTCCGTAATTATGGCCTTCTCAGAGGGTTCCCTGATTTTGGGAGGTGACATGAACTTTGCACAGGACCCACTAGTGGATGTTTCCAAGGGAGCGTCACACCTCTCCTATGCGTACCTGAAGAGGCTGAAGGCGGAGCTTCAGGGGTTACGCTTAGTAGATGCGTGGCGGTTTCTACATCCCGAAGCTAGAGACTACACTTTCTATTCTCAAGTTCATCAGACATACTCCAGGATAGACGTTTTCTTTGTGTGTCATCAGGCCTTGCCGTTCCTGCGATCGGCCGCCATAGATACCATACTCTTGTCGGATCATGCCCCTATTCATATGGACATGGTCATAGGACCCCAGCATTCCCCAATGTCATCCTGGCGCTTGAATGAATCTCTCATTCAGGACACGGGGATCAAAGCAGAGGTGGAAGGTGCCATTAGATCCTTCTTCATCTACAACTCCGAGTCGGGGCCCAGCCCATCGATGGTATGGGAGGCCCACAAGTGTGTGGTCAGGGGGATTCTCATACGTCATGGAGCTCGACGCAAGAGGGAAAGAGCTGAACAGATTTCTACTTTGACAGACCGAATCTACAGACTGGAGGCGTCCCACAAACGCTCTTTAGCACAATCTTCCCAGTTAGCTCTCCAACAGGCACGGACTGAGTTGAACGCCCTGCTATACCAGCGCACCAAACAACGCTTAGTGACATGTAAACGTACCTTCTACGAATACTCTAACAAACCGGGTAGACTTTTGCCGAGAGCGTTGGGGGGTACGCGGTCAAAAATGTATATCCCACACATTAACTCCAGGTCAGGTACCAAATTGTCATTGTCAAGGGATATGGCCGCGGAATTCGAGGATTTCTACGCCCACTTATACAACCTGAACCCCAGCCAGTCCCAGGTAGACGTAGCGGGCCGCTGTCCCTTAATGG